TCTTTCTTTCTTTCTTTTTTTTAACTGTAGGCATTTGGTGCTAAGAACTTTCCTCTTAGAACTGCTTTCATTGTGTTCCATTGGTTTGGGTATGTTGTGTTTTCATTTTCACTCAATTTGAAAAGGTTTTTAATTCTATTTTGAGACATTTTTCCCCCATTGAGTAGTGAGTTCTTTGCTTTCCATGAGTTTGTATACTTCTGCTGTTTCTGTTGTTGTTGATATCCACCTTTAACCCATGGTGGTCAGATAGGATGCAGGGAGTTATTTCAATTAGGGAATAAATTAGGAAAACCCTATAATCAAATGAAAGTGAAAGCATATCTTATCAGAACTTTTAGGATACAGTGAAGGCACTTCTGGGGGAAAAGTTTATAGGCATGAGTTCTTACATTAAGAAACCAGAGTCATTTCAAATATCATCATCATGTGCTTTGAGGTCTTAGGAAAATAAGAAAAGTGAAGCCTAAAATCAGACAGGAAAAAAAGGATCAGAGTAGAAATTAGCAAATGCTCACTAAAAGACCAATACAAAGAATCCAGGAAATAGTTAGTGCTTTGAAAAAATAGACAAAATTGAATTACCCTTTGCCAAATTACTCAAAAGAAAGAGGTCTAAATTAATAAAATTAGATGAAAAGAGGGATGTTCCTACAGATTCTGATGAAATATAGAGATTTAACAGGAAGTACTTTGAAAGCTTATACTCCAAAAATATGAAAAATCTAGAAGAAATGGATAAACTCCCAGATACCCATGGTTTACCAAAATTAAATCAAGAGGATATAATTTAATGGGTCTGTAACAGGCAATGAGATTGATGTGGTAACAAAAGTCTCCCAATAAATAAAAGTCCAGGACAAAATGGATTCACAGATAAATTCTATCAACTTTTACGAAAGAATTAACACTCCTGCTCCTCAAATTATTCATCTCACACACCCCCAACACCAAGCATGAGAAGTCTTCTTTAGAATTGTTGGTCAGGGTTGTTCAGGAGACTCACAAAACATTATAGGCCATTGCTATTTTTCTTGGTAGTTGCCCCTCCCTGAGGTAGAAGTCTCTATTTCTGAAGACACTATGTACTTCAGGACTCAGGCCACTGAGCTAGACCCAAAAGCTCCATGATGACTAGCTTTCATGGTACCAGAAGACATCATGCACACTTTCCAAAGAAGGAAAACAATCAACAGTCCATGCTGCTTTGATGCCCATGAACCACAACAACAACCAGTATGGTACCATAACCATAAGGAAGCAGCAGTGGCATGCATACCCTGGCAGTAACCAATAGCTCTCTAATTAAACTTAAGACCTGCTCAACAAGTGGGAAATCATGTCTGGTAATGGAAACCTAGCCAAATACCCAGGACCAGTGAAGTTGTGGACCTTGGAGGAGAACCTACACCTGCCATGATACTAAACCAGCACAATGCCTAACTACCTTTTAAATAGTTAACCTTATCCCCACAGATGAGTGTAGTCTTTCACCTCTCATAAAGGAAACATCTCTTTGAAACAGACTATTATTGAAAACCACAGCTGATTAGAATCCAGAGTTGTGGAGCCCAGTCCCAGCGGATACTTCTACAAGACAACTCCCACACATAAAGAGTCGTCTCATCCCATAGAGAACCTTAGGGGGTGAAAGATTTAAGAGTCAGAGGATCAGGGATTTTTCTATAAGATTGTGTGTCCTAGGAATGTCAGATGCTATACCCATAAAATCTTGCCAATATGACTGCCTACACACGAGGTGATCAGGATAACAACAGACATGCCAAAGTGGGTGAAGGAAAGTGTATGAGACCTCAGCGTACACAAAGAACTACAGACAACTAAGGAATGCCAAGAGTGGGAGGAAGTGTTCTCCAGGGACTATCCAATACCAAATGGTCAGTCTTGAAAATATTCAAAGAATTAACATTATACATTGAGCAGCTTGTACTTATGTATTTAGGAGTGTGTGTGTGTAACACCAATTACTGAAAAAAGATCATGAATTAAACAGCAGGGAGGGGCAGGTAGAAGATTAGAAAGAGAGCAAGGAGGGGTAGATGGGGGAGGGTTTGGAGGAAGGAAAGGGAAGGGAAGAATTATATGATATTATGATCTCAAAAATTAAAAGAAGTAATTTTTAAAAGGATATAAGCATAGGCAATAACTTTCTGGAAGAATTCAAACAGCTCAAGAAATAATTACAAGATTGACAAATGGGATTTCATGACATTCACAAGCTTTTACATAACAAAGGAAATATTCACCAGAGGGAAGAATGAGCCTACATAATAGAAGAAAATATTTGTTAACTATGTATATCTGACAGGGGATTAATATCTTAACTATATTAAAACTCCAAAAAATAAACATCCAAAGACCAATAACTCAATCAATAAATGAAAATAAACTGGATGGTTCAAAGAAGAAATAGAAGAAAATAGGAGAAATAAAAATGGTCAGTAAATACATGAAAAAAATGTTTAGCTTCCTCGCCATCAGGAAAACGGAAATGAAAACTACTATGAGATTCCATCTCACTTCACTAAGAGTGGCAATCATCCAGCAAACAAATGCTGGTGAGGATATGGGGAAAGAGGAACATTTAGACTCTGCTGGTGTGAATGCAACTAGTACCTGGACTAGGGCAGTTAATACGGAGGTTCATCATAGAAATACAAAATGGAGCTATTGTATCCCCAGCTATAACACTCTGGTTATATCTCCAAAAGAGTCTTCATCAGCACACCACAAAGATGTTTGCATAGTCATGCTGACTGCTGAACTGCTTATAATTCCTAAAATATAGAACCAGCCTAGATGCTGATCAACAGGGAATGTTTAAAGAAAATGTAGTATATAGATACCATGGGGTTTTATTTATCCATTAAAAAGGGAAATTATATCCTGTGTGGGAAATGGATTTAACATCATGTTAAGTGAAACAGAGATCCAGAAAGATAAATACCAAGCTTTCTTTTATATGTAGAATTTAGATTTAACTATATAATTATATGACATATTAATGATATTAAAATAGAAGACATAGAAGGGGGGACATGAAAGGGAAATGTGAGGAAAGGATAACAAATACTACATACTCCCTCTCTTATGTGGACTCTATCATCTATCATCTATCTATCTATCTATCTATCTATCTATCTATCTATCTATCTATCATTTATCATCTATCAACTATTGTAGTGAGTCTCTGGCCCACCAACCGACTCCAAAATAACCACATAGAGACTTTTTTTAATTAAAAATTTTTAAAATTCATTTTACATACCAACCACAGATCCCCCTCTCATCCCTCCTCAAGCTCCCCCCATCAGCCTTCCCTTGCTGATCCATCCCCCATCCCCTCCTATAAAAGGGTAAGGCCTCCATGGGGAGTCAGCAAAGTCTGGTACATTCAGTTGAGGAAGGACCAAGCCCCTCCCCATCAAGGCTATATAAGGCTCCCAAAGGCAGCTCACACACCAAGGATAGATCCTGATCCCACTGCCAGAGGCCCATCAAACAAACCAAGCTACGCAACTGTCTCCCATACACAGAGGACCTAGTACAGTCCATGTATATTCAACAGCTGTCAGTCTAAAGTTTGTGAGTTCCTATAAACTTGGTTCAGTTGTCTCTGTAGGTTTCCCCATCATAATCTTGATGCCCCTTGCTCATAGAATCACTCTTCTCTCTCTTCAACTGGACTCCTGGGGCACGGCCTGGTGCTTGGTGCTTGGCTGTGGATTTCTGCATCTGCTTCCATTAGTTACTGGATGAAGGCTCTATGATGACAGTGTATTCACCAATCTGATTACTGGGGTAGGCCAATTCAGGCACCCTCACCACTATTGCTAATAGTCTAATCTGGCATTGTCCTTGTGGATTCCTGGGAATTTCTCTAGCGCCAGGTTTCTCCCTAACTCCGTAATGTCTCCCTCTATCAAGATATCTCTTTCATTGCTCTCCCACTCTATCTCTCCCATTTCCTCATGTTCTCATCCCCCATGCCCTCCTCCCCATTGCCCCCCCTCATCCCCAGTTTACTCATAGAGATCTCATCTACTCCCCCCCTCCCAAGGTGATCCATGTATCCCTCTTAGGGTTCTCCTTGTTTCCTAGCTTCTCTGGAGCTGTGGGTTGTAGTCTGGTTATCCTTCTCTTTAGATCTAGTATCTACTTGTGAGTGAGTAATAATATGTTTGTCTTTCTGAGTCTGGGTTACCTCACTCAGGACAATATTTTCTAGTTCCATCCATTTGCCTGCAAACTTCATTATGTCATTGTTTTTTACAGCTGAGTAGTACTCCAATGGATAAAGAAAATGTGGTACATATTCATGGAGACGTATTATTAATTATGAAAGCTCAGCCAACAGCTAAGGTTTATTTCTATCTCTTAGAACTTAAATTAACCCATTTCTATTAATTGACTTTCTGCCTCTTGGCTTTATTACCTCATTTCCATATTGCCCATCCTGCTTGCTTGTCATCTCTTGTCATCTCTGCCTTCTTCTTCCCAGCATCTTCTCTGCCCCGAAAATCCTGCCTAACTATTGGCTGTTCAGCTTTTTAGTAAACCAATCTGAGTGACACATCTTCACAGTATACAAAAAAATTTTTTCCACAACGAACTGTCATCTGACTAAAATCAGAAGGGGAGCCATCTTGAGGAAGGAAGGGGGCTGATGGGAAGTGTGGAAGGGCCAACAAGGGAAATTAATAGGGGATGGTTGTGAGCAAAGTACAAAGACCTATCTTTGAAAATGTCATAATGACACCCATTATTTTGTACACTGTTTTAAGAGTTTTAAGAACATTATGTTCTAGAGTCCTTCTCATGACCATGTGACCGTCATTGCCTGCAAACAGGTGGAAATTGATCCACGCCTTATAGTCAGGTTTGGCCTCAGAACTTGTATTAATAAGCAGCATGACTGAGCTATGACTGGAAGAATGACTGTGTCTTAGGACTCCTGTTTTCTCTATACTGTAAAACAGGTTGTCCTTCAGAGACCCACACAGGGAAGCCACGCACACCCACCTTTGCTGACAGACATGGGTGACACCTGTTTCTGGTGGGAGTTCCACTTTACCTCTAAAGCCAGAAGAATTTGAGCCCTGATCTCTGACTTCGTGTAGCGAGTCCTTCTACTGTCTAAACTTACGGCCGGGAGTGCAGGTAATGAAAACTGACCACAGGCTCTTCACATTAAATGTTCCTTGAGTTTTAATTTCTGCACATGGTGATACCATCTTTTACAAAGTTCTAGGCAATGTCCTATCTAATTTCCAGGCAGGGTTTTCCTCTGTAGCTGACCAGAACATTTGTTCACATAGTCACTTAGGGAAGGATGTGGATCTTGACCCCCGCATGGTCAGCCAATGTTACCGTACTTATTTGTGAACAAGCAAACTCTTAAGTGATTAGAACTCAACTAGTCATAAATATGTCGCAGTCTTCCTTTACATCTCCATGTTTTTCAACCTCCCCATACTAACTTCCCAGGGGACTGCCTGGACTTTGAATGCTTTGATGGGTTGTAAGGCTCGCTCTCCTGAGGTTTCAGTGACCCAGTACTCTTGGTGTTTATGGTAACAAACTTCCTGTGCAAGTCTGACAGGCTGCAAAACCCAGTGTGTGCCTTCTCACTCCTCTTCCTCCTCTGATCTGGTATTTCCTCTTTAGCATTTGAACTGTAGATGGAAAAAAAATGCTCTATAAATTAAGAGGAGTATAAACTTCATCCTGCCACCATTCTGGATCCCTTTTGCTGTCCTCCCCCTTATCTTTAGGCCCCATGGCTCCCTGGAGAGTCAGGCTTGCACAGAGGACAGCTCCTAGGCTGCCAGGCCTGATGAACTGCTGCTCATGCTAGAAAGAGGCTGCAGGTGACCATTTCCACCAACTGTCACAGGAAACGCAGAGGAGGGAGGAGCCTCTGAGTGGCTTTTCTAGTATGATGTGGACTAGGGGCTGGTCTTGCCTTACAGATTGCTGGTGTTTGGGGGACTTTTTTTTTTTCCCTCTTTAAGGTGAAACATAGAGGAAGAAATTCTTTTCATTTTTTTTCAACCATCAAGTTTAGAAATTAAAAAAAATTGTACTAAGAAAATAGCTTCTTTGAGTTTGCCTGTATAAAGGGAATACCATTTAGTCAGGATCCAAGAAGGTGAGGGTTCCCCTGCCTCCCTCCCTCCTAAAGATGCAGAAGATGCAAAGCCTCCTAGAGTTTTCAGGATGCCCTTAGCCACTGACCTGTACTCGTAGCCTGTGCTGTATTTCTTTCTTTTAAAAATACATTGATTTCTGTTACTGTGTCGGGGTGCACGTGCCATGGCACACGCGTGGTGACAGTGAAAACAGCTCTGTAGAGTCTCTTCCTCCATCTTTGCATCAGTTCCAGGGACCACTCAGGTTGCCAGGCTTACAGGACAAGGGCCATGACTTGCTGAGCCATCTCCCTGACCCATTATTCACTTTCTATCCAAGTGAAGAAGTACAGGAAAGTATAACTTTAGGGAGGGGTTGTTGGTGAGCTCACCCCTAACTCTGTAAATTCTAGGCGGGCACTTCACCAGCTGAACTATAGCTCTAGCCTCAGAAAAATACAACGGATTATCAAATGGCTTTAGTGCTGTGGTTTGGGGCGACTAGGCATTCTTTAAGAGGAATAAATGGCTAAAATGCCTGTGTACTGTTAAAGATGAAAAGGCCACCCTTCCCTACCCCATTCCTTTCAGTTCTGTAGCTCTTGATCTTCAGTGTCTGTCAGAATCATGGGGAAGATTCTCAAAACACAAATTGCTGTGCTCTACCCTTAGAAATGTAGATTTAGTACTTGAATCAAGGAAGGACTTGATAATCCACATTGCTGACAAGTTCCTGGGTGCTCTTGGTACCTGGCTCTGGAAGAAACTCTAAAATAGGTAATCATCCTTGAAGGCGCACAGAGGACAGAACTCTTGTCCAGTGAGTATCTACTGCCTCATTACAGGCAATGTGGGATCATGGTGCCGAGAACCCACAGATGTTGGTGATTAGAAAACCAGGGGAATCAAGGGACTTGGGGTTGAGGAGATCGGGACAGGAGCCTGGTGCGACAGAAAGAGTAAGTCGGAATGAAGGTCCAGGCATTCAAGTGTGAGGTGAGGCCCCCACAGACCTCACTGTGTGGGGTGTGGTTGCTTTGTTAAGTTTGATGGCTGAGGTGGCGACAAGACCCTGAAGGTTTCTTGCGCTTCCTTCATGTCAAATAGCAGAGATGAGCAAGTCCTTTGAACTTGCATAACCACACGCATTTTCCTTGGCAGTGTGTATTGATTGCTGGATGGGAGCGCTCTTTCTGTTGGGCAAATCAAGCTTATAGTGATGTTGCGTCAAGTAAATGACTGCAACTCCTTTATTTTACCAAATGGTTGGAATCTAAGCTGGACACGAAAAGATATGCACAGACTAATCTTTAGAGTCTGAAAGCGTAAGTGAGTTTTGCTAAGTTCATATGGAAACATCGAGGTAGAAAATAACTCAACTTCAATCCTATTTCTATTTTTTACATTCCATTATAAATACATCATTTTGATTTTAAAAGTCCAAAGCTTGTCATCTTCAGGCAGATTATACTTGGTTATGAAATCATCAGGATTCTTCTTCCACCTATGGTCACTAACAAAACGATGCCCAAATCAGGTTTCTTTTGTAGGGCTGGGGCTTGAACCTAGGGTGTCATGCATGTTAGGCAAGTGCTGCATCTCTGAGCTATATTTCCAGCCCTGTGGAGTCTATTTTAAAAAATTTAAAAATATCATTTAATTGAAGTAAGGCAAAAATAAGAATTGTGATTCCTCTTTCTAAGAAATGCTAATCATTAGAAATAATATGAAGATTTCCAAAGGCTCCTATGACAGCAATATTCAGGACATATTTTATAGTAAACATTTTAATAAACAGCAGCATAAAATAATCAGTGTTTAATATCATCTCTGGTGGTGAAATACATATGCATATATCCTCAATATAAAATAGTCTTTTGGTCATTACAAGTCCATGTTTTTCTATTTGGAATGCCCATAAGAACAAATCAAACATTGATACAGTGATTAAATGCATGCAGTGAGAATAAGGAAAGATATGGTAGTGTGAGCTATCTGAACATCGCCATTATATATTCGAGGACAATCTACATTGAGTTAAAAACAAGCAAAGGAAATAAGGAAACAGACCAGATATAAAAATGCAGATATATTTTCACTTCTGTGATACAAACCATAAACAGTTTTGTGCAGAGAAATAAAAAAGAAACAATACCTGAAAATAAAATTAGCTTACAAAACATTGTCAACAGAGTGAAAGATTTTTCAGCTTGTGAAAAAAGGTATCATTTAATACAAAAGAGGCTGCATGCTGCAGCATCACAGCACTGTTTTAATAATTATAGCAAGTGGTTTTGAAATTTCGTTTGCTCACCTTAATGGCTTCAGTTATTATAAAAGGCTTAAAAATAAATGTTATAGTTCTTTATAAAAAACTAAGTTGAATTTATTTTTTTTAACCATAATAATGACTTTCCAGAGAAGGTCTCTTACTGGCTCATGGAATGCTAATTCCCCTTTAAGGGACTCCTTGAAAACTCAGATTCACTGAGACTGTGTTTACTCAAAATAAATATCCTTGGAAAATAATTGATTGTCATATCATATACAAAATTGTGGTTTGAAGTGTCATCGTTATATAGTTGCATAGCAACAAAAGGATACAAATCTCCTCCTCTACTCAACTTCAAGAAATGTTACATAGAATCAGCTTATTCATGCCACAAAATAGCTCTTAATTTATTGTCCAGTAAATCTGAATATAGCCAACTCTTTTGAGTTCACAGTACCTATAAGTTCATGTTTATTTGGGAAAACGTAGGCACATTTTGGTAGGCAGATTTCCTAGATTTCTTATGCAAATTCTACCTTAAAAGGCAGAAACATCAAGGTCTTCCTAACTTTCTTATATTCCCCTCAAGAAATATTTCTTTCTATCAATGAAGTAGTTCCAGGTTTTATTTTGCATCTTATAAGTCTGTAAGTCTCTATAGCTTTAAAATAAAAGCAAGACTTGCTGATATTTTTCTTAGGATAAAGGAGTTATTTTTTTAATAAGAGAAAAATCAAATTTAAAATTCCTTTTTATGCAGAACTTGAATCCCACAAGAATTCTGAACTTGGTAAAAGGTAGTTGGCAAGTAAATGCTAGGATGGGCACACTTGATGTCACCCCCTAAGGAAGGCAAGAGGGTTGGATCAAATTGCTTGTTTGCCAAGTTAAGGAATCTGGAGTCTTGCAATCTTTGAGAGAACTCAGTATGTTTGTTTGTTTTTTTAAAAAGACAACCTATAATGTTTTGCAAAATAGGATGTGTAGTCTTTGGATTCCAGCTAGCTCTATGAAGAAATTGTTCAACTTCTTGGTGCTAGAATATAATCGGTGAACATCTCCAAGAAAAACAAGAAGAAAAGTGAGAGTTTAAATTTGGTGGCTACTGGCATCATCACAGGGTTTCCTCTTGCTCACAGTCTATCCCAAGACCTTGGCCAACTTGTACACAGGCTGCAAGGCATGGATGTGGGTGTGCCTACCTCCAGCATCACCTGTTTGCAGCATCAGTGGTCTGGGGACACTCCTATAGAGAGAGGCTGACCAAAGGAACAGTGCAATAACCCTGTCTCTCTCCCATGGATATTGATCCAAGCTGAGGGACCATTTTCCTGACTCTGCCTCCTTGGGGGCCCCATTCCTAAAGCAATAACTCAAATTGTAATCTACAGCCATTTCCAGCATCCGAATCTACCTTCTTTAGGGCCTGTGTAAACACATTGTGGAAAAAGGGACTGGAAAAGGCCTTCATGATGAGAAGAGGAAGTTCACATAAACACCCTACACCATCCCAGAGAAGCCTGACTACCGAGAGGACTTCTGTTGACATGACAAGTCTGGATGGCTCATTTCCATCCGAGATTTAAAATGTAGCCTCAAGTTCCCTGTGTGGTGCTAAACACCACTTCCATTCAAACATGCTTAGAGTCTAAGTTGAATCAAAATAGTTCCTGAACATCTGTCCTGAAGTAGAGACAGCAGGTAGACAAACGCTACAGTATATACATTTTGGGGGTAGATCAGCCAAAGGCAAATACACAGAGCACCGTTTGACTTTCTTTTTTGGTTTACTATGTAATTACAATGTTCTGTTTCTCTTCATTGGTTTTCAGTACTTGAAACAGTCTGTTCCCAACACACCATGATGGAGTGAAAATCCCACAATGCTTATTTTTTCCTGGCTAGTGTCTTTCCAGTAAGACACAGTTAAACTTCACAGAAGACACTGGTTGCAATGTCTGCTAAATGAGAACCTTCAATAAAAACATTTGAATATAAATCTTTTCTGCCACTTTTTAGTTTGTCTGGTAGAGAGTATTTACAAAAGTCACCCATTTTATACTTCTGCAGAAATCATAGATTCGGTGTGCCCATGAATATTGGAGTCTCCAAGCAAAGATGGTTGCTTTGAGTCTATTTTG